TAAGGAAACTTAAAACAATAAAAATTTCACAATGTAAAAAGAGACGAAAATTCTTGTATATGCATTCATACTTGAACATTAGGCCCTACTGTAAAGTCTTGAATGAGACCATTCTGGATCCAGTTTTTAATTGGCCCGTATAAGAAACGCGCATAATCGCCGCCCGAAGAAACATCCAGTCATGAAGACGGAAAAAGCTTTACCAATGAACTCGAACTGCCAGTCAGGCTACACACAATTAACAGCCATTAAGTTGAAGGACAGACGAAAGACTAGTGTCTGTCTTTTTTTCTCCTCACGTGCCCCTAGTGTTCGTGCCCGAGGACCCATAGATAAGACCGGCGCGTTTGATCGTCCATTGGACCGTCCAAGTGGACGACACCAACCCTTGGTCGGTGTCCACTGCTCGTTGCTCCGACCATGGTCCGTCTGTAATGGGCCGTAAACAAGAGTGCTGAGTCACCCCATGTAAAGCCTGTACTTGGCACGACAGCTTCAGAACCTTTATAAGAATTACATTCCACTGATAAATTACCCACCGTGTACTACTATAATGATGCAAATGTTTCATCTTTCACCTCCCAGTCATTTGACAGACCGGCTGTCTTTGACTCGCACTGTCTGGCAACATTGCAGTGCATGCATGTGTAACAGATAGAAAAACTGGCGTATTTTCCCGCGTTTACCTCGATTCACCACGATTGTGCACTGCGGGATTCGTGTGCTATTGATACTTTCTGGTGTAAGCGCCAAAACCATATGAAAATTCTGGTTTGCGCAAAAGCTGGATTGCCCTACGAATGTGACCCCCAACCTCGCGCGTGCCTGTGTCATGCCATCGAGTTGTCACTTCGTGAGACAGGCGCAGAATGATCAAGATGTCCGTTTTTCACTGCAGCGGAATTTAGGCCTAATTGTTGCTCTTGTCTTTTTTATTCACTTATAAAACCGCATGTAGTCATGCAGCCTGCGTTTATCAATGATGAAACAATGTGTAAATGGCGATCATCATTGTGTCAACTGACGATTTGTATAAAAATAATCTCAGTGACCTTTATTACGGTTATGATGGTGACAGTTTGAGTAAAACATTTGCCTAGGAAGGTAGACACTTGGGAAATCCAACTTTGGGTAAAATATTGGCTTGATTTCAACAGGTTTGCGGAGCGGAGCTCTTGTACGAAGAGAAGTCCAGAATATTGACAGACTAGCTTTCCTAAGAAAATGAGCTTAGGCCTATCTGCTTGGGAAAACGAGCACATTTGGAAAGGAACAGCAGGTTGGGTTGGAGCAAGCCGAGTGTGTGTCCCGAGCGACTCATAACATCCAAGACAAAGGAATCTGTCTTTATCCTCGCGTGGTTTCTCACTGTATTCCCCAGCATGAATTTCCGTCACCTTGATAGATGTTCGGCACGTTGGAAATACAAGACAGAAGTGTTTTATGGACATACTTCATTCTCTCTTATTAAATCTGACAGGCAACTCGGAGAGGATGGCCTTCCGTTTTGGCGGCGTTCGTGCAGGAAAACTTGGCGCGGAGCAGTGCACAGCTAGTTTCGACACAGCCAAACAATCGCGACACCTTAATGTTTTTTTTCTCTCTCTCCAAGCTGTCTTGGTGGGTGCTTGTCCCGTGCTGGAGAGAGCCAATTATCTTATACCACAGAGCGAAGTAGCAGGGAGGGAGTCGGGGGGAACGATACATCACTCTCTAGAGAGGGGATGTGAATCGACGGTGTTTGCACTGAAATCCGTCACTACAGGTTCGGTCCGCGCGCGCGCGCGCTCGCACACCAATAACAAACGAGTGCGCAACTCGAGGACTCGTTGGGGGGAGAAGGGAGAGGGGTGTGTTATTTTCTATCATTCAACGGCTAGTCTCGAGAGGGCCTCCTTGGTCAAAACGAAATCAACAAGAAGGTGGCACCCCGAAGTGCTGACCGAACACGAAACACTCCAGAGCCGCGCGAATTATTAGGCCAATTTGGGCAATCCGGAAGTGGGCGCTTCTGCCCTTGGAACACACGGTGATGGATAGGCGTCGGGTTCGGCAGACAGACCCCTTCACGTGATGGATGGCGCTGCGCTCCCCAAAGTCGCAAGTTCTAACATTTTTTTCCCTCGGCCACGTGTTCGACACTAAACCCTTTCAATAATTAGGATACTGAAAGTTTGTTTTACCAAAGAGAGCGGGGCATGACGCCCGACTAGACTTCAAGTATCAAAATAACAGAAAACAGTAAAGTTTGAGAGCAAATCTAAAGCCATTTTTGTCTGGTCTCAATCGAAAGTTTGTTCTTTTTAATTATCATGATGAAGAACCATTCTACTAGCATGGTTCAAAAACTTTCTTTATGCGTCATGCTTTTAGAACATGTAGACTTCGTGTGCCTTTTTAAAATAAAAAATATGCCTTTTTGTAAAGTTCAGGTTGAATCCGTTTGCAAGTTCGCTTTATCTCTAATCCCGGAGCTGTAAACGCATAGACCTTTTCTACTGAAGTCTGCCACCTTGGCTTCTTCCCGTACAGTTGAATGTTCCCGGTAGCGAACCCTTGGATGCTATCCCATAGTCAGTGACCTGCATTCGGGTGAAATCGACAACGAGGGTGAAGCAAAAAGGCTGCATCGGAGTCCATTGTCTAGAGCTAGGCCTAGGTCCCTGCCCCATTGGAAAAACGCGGGGACCCGCTGACAAAAGACGAAGCCGTAGCTCTGGAAACCCGTTTAGGACACGACAAAAAGAAAAAAGGAGCAGGCAGTCTGGCCACGTACCAGAACCTCGCCATCAAAACACAAGACGGACACGCGGTGCAATTCAGACTAGTGCATTGCCATTGATCGTTACCAAAATGCCAAAAGGATGATCGGAGCAACTGTGCATGGGTAGAGTGAGGTCTGGCTCCCCGCTGGAGCCTACTGGATTTGGGGGCATTTCAAATCACCTGTATCTGATGAATTTTTTAAAATAAAAGAGTAAATGCATCTTCAGGAGGAGGACGAGAGCATTAGGAGATTGTTACAGGGAGACGTATTACGTTGTTTCAAACACAAACTGTTCGAGGAAACAGCCATTCTTCGTTACGGTTCCAAAATTTAGCAAAAGAGATACACAAGCAATCATTAAATGCTTCGTAAATAAATAATCCAGCGCCCGATCAACAAGGAGCGTGCGAACGACGGCACTTGAGAACAGAAGTTGGCCCCCGGTCGGTAGTGTCCAGATGTCGGCCGGCTCGAATGCTCGCCCTACTGGTGCGCTGGGGCAACTCCCGCGGTCCAACGTACTTCTCCCATACATGTATATGCACAGGGTATCGATTGCCTCCGTGCGCCAACGGGCCGGTTGTGACTGGCGACAGCAGGCGGTCTTGGTCGGTCGTTGTACCGCCGCTTCTGTGGTCGAGAAGGGTGCATCTTTGAAAGTGAAAACAGCTGAATTGTGCAGAGCGCCAAACAGTGTTTTGGCGTCATGAATGTCTCCCAGGCGTGTGATTCAATGAAATTTGAAACTGTGTGGTTCTGTCGTTTCGTCATACCTTGTTTTTGTAAGAATGTCAATTTGAGTTTGAGGTGAATATGAAAAAACAACAAACAAACCAACAAACAAACAAACAAGAAAAAGAAAGAAAGAAAGAAAAAACTCCCTAGCAAAAAAAATAAGGCTGATATAAGATCGAATCAGATAGTATTATGAAAGCTTCAAAAAGGCAAAACATTTCCAACCTGGTGAAGATGTGTTATTACTGTAAATTTTCTCGGCATAGGAAAAGTAACTCCCCAGTATGAGGTTGTGCAGTTTACCTTTCTTGTGTCGAGATGAATTTTTGGACGATAATAGTTTGACATTGATTGACAACCATGCCGAATAGTTTGTGAGTAATCTCAACCTCCTTTAGGAGTATTATTTTAATGAGTTAGATATGCAGGAGTGGAAACTGCTTTTGCTCGAACTTTGATTATTTTAGAAGGCTTTCACTGGTTCGAAGCAAACGGGTTTTAGAAATGTGCGTATCGCCTGGCTTATCAAAGATACATTTCAATTTAATTGACTGTGCATCTAAACATCGTTTACAGACGGGACTACTTCGTGTCTGGAGTTACTAGAGGCTTGAGCACAAGCGCTTTTAAATACATGTAGTTTTAGCCCGCGTGGCGCAACCATTCGAGTTCCATTTAGCTAAAGGACAAAGTACTATCCCGATATCATCCCAGTCGTTAAAGAGGGTCGAGTTATGGGAACAAGCACGTGCAGGGGGTATCTACGGACCGCGGACCGGCGTGGAGTAGGGGCTTGGCTGTGGGAAGAGAGGCAGCCGGTCGCCCCTCGTCGCCTCCCTCCGACTCGCTCAAGCACCGGAGCCGCTGAGCGGTTACGCTGGTATTCCGGAGGGAGGTCCGTATGTCTTTCCCCTGCTTCCGTTTGGCAAGTTTTTGGAACCACTAACGCAAAGAGGGGTTTTCGTGAATGGCAAAATTCACAGTTCGATGGCGACCACAACGATTTCAGAGACACTCTTTCTGCTAATGGGCTTGATACAAGAGGCAACATCTACAGCCTTCTACGCAAAACAGACCTGCACTAATATGCACCTCAAGTATAACTAATCACCTTAAACTGTTTTGAAGTCTGATGTGCAGTTGAGGTTATTTTGATGACAAAGGGTATAATTCCAAAGAGCAGTTTGTGACAAATACGGGCGATTCACAGTGGTGCGCCTCCAAGAGTTTTCAAAGCGCTGGCCAATCGCGATGCGCGAAATCTGTCGACCGAAATGCACTTTTGGAAAGGATCGACAGATGTTTGAGGCGCACTATTGTGAATCGCCCGTATTCGACTGTAGCGACACATTACAACTGTGAAAGGGGTTTGCGCAGACTAATGCGTGTATATGGGTTAGAGACCTATCGCATACTTCCTTTGTTAGCAGACGAATTTTGATGTCTGTGAATACCATGAGTGAAATTCTATGTATTTATGACTTATATATAAATAAATTGACCGGAGCGGGATTCGAACCTGCGATCTCCGGAATACCGCACCAGTGCTCTACCAACTGAGCTATCCAGCCCCTGAACAAAGATATTGACAAATGGGCAGGGCCCCAACATAGGGCTGGTCAGCTCAGTTGGTATACCGGTACGGTATTCCGGAGGTCGCAGGTTCAAATCCCACTCCAAGTCAATTTCTTTATAACTCATGATGTAAACACTTAGTCAGTTTCCTTATATAGATTTTTGATGATATTTTATGACTTAGTGATTGCCACAAGTTAAGAAAATGGAATTGCGGCTAAAATAAACGGTAACACCAAGGGTGTATATTATGTTATATTTTTAGAAGGTTAATTAGGAGCAGTCGTACACCATAGGCTTAAATAGTGAGTGTACAGATGCTAGTTATTTTAATGACGATGCTACCTGCAATGCCTGCTCGAGCTTGATTTATGGTAATGTCGTGGCGATTTCCCGATTTTGTGGAATTTTCCCTTCCTCAAGAAAGTAGAACAGAGCATAATATGTAGCTTTTTACCGTATAAAAGCTTTTCAATGGTTGGAGAGTTCTGTTGGGCTATCAATGGCATGCATCATGCATGTTTGGGGGTTACTCCAGTCGCAGGTAAAATCTGAGATTGCCTCACTTTGAGCGATCAATCAACTCGTGACCCGCTCTGAGGTCACCGGCGGATGTTTTATTTGGTTTAATCACGGCAGGCGCGTTGTATCGGAGTGCATAGCGCGTTGTCAGCAGGCGTGCTGTATGGATTCTGCCCAACTGCGGCAACACCGTCGCCGACATCGATCGTTTGAACAGCTCTTCCCTCGTCGCCCCGTTCAGGCCGAAACCTTCTCCAAATAAACGCAGGCGAAAAAAAAAATCGCCAGAGTCACCGTAGGCCTCTCTCAACCAGCGAGCCCGGACGGGGTTGACTGCGGAGTATACAGACCACATCCAAGCCGAGGTGGCGCGGAGTTATACAATGCGGCGCGGCCCCCCAGAGAATCGTAGGCCACCCCGTGTCCAATTGCCTGTCACTGTCTCCACTCGTGCAAACTGACAGCCCCCGTATAGACTGGTTGTGGACATACCGTCCGGCCAACACAAACATGCCCATATTAATAGAAACAACAATGGCACTTTGGATATTATTACTGATGTAACGACAACCATGCCCGTATACAGCGCGTAACAAACTGCACACAGCGAGTATGGCAATTTTTTTTTCCCATTCCGCCGAGGAGAAATTACCGCGCGATTGCAGGAGAAGTCAGTCGGGTCGCCAGCGCTCCGTCCGTCCCGTGTGTGATTACCCACGGCACCGCTGTGTTTGCAGACCTGGTCGTTGTACTGTTCTGCTTGCACAGGTGGTCTTCCCCCTTCTCGCGAGAAGAAACAAAAATGGAAATAAATATTGATCGCATTAAAGACCCCAACAGAGCTGATTTATTCAGTACAACTTAATTTCGCCCGTCTGTCATTGCCATCTCTCCAAACGGCTATTTGCCTGATCGGCAGGGTCGTCTGCATGTGCTTTGTACTCGAAAGACGATTCCCTTTGTATCATAACCAGTCCTTCTCTTAGATGACTGTTCCAAACAAGAATATAACCCATTGACATGTGGCAATTTGCGGCTGCATGAAGATATGGGTAAATAAAATCAAGTTACGACAAACGTCACTGACGGGGATTTTCAGTTCGAATACCGGTACATGGCAGCACATCTTCCGCGCATTATGGGTTTTTCTTTGCAACTTTGATTTGCAACTCGGAGGGGGTACTTAATTTTCCTGTCGAAGCAATCCGCATGTTTCTGAACTTTTACTAAAGAAAGATGCATTTTCAGAATGGCTTTTTTCGAGATCTGTTTCAGCTAGTGACGATTTTAAGGATGGATCTCTGATTGATTTGGGGGGATTTTATCAAGCATTCCTCTCGATACATGCGTTTTAAAGTGTTTGATTAACGAACAGTGGTAATCTATTATTCTTCTTTTAAGAATGAAAGCCAGCAAGCACATGAGAGCCGGAATTTTTGTACAGGAAGTTTAGGGAGAGAATTGGCGCCGGTGCTTCCCGTTTTTTCTTGTCTCATCAAGACCCCCCTTCCGTCTCGGTTTGTCCATCACACCTGCCAATCATTAGCCGGGCCAAGTACCCGGTCCTGTCGTAGCGACGTTTAAAACCTAATCCTGACCGATAAGATAGTTCGGCGGCGATGCCCGCTCTTTTGTCCTGACACGGGCCACAATGGGTGTAGGTGAGGCCCTTCCTGACCTCCACTCGATCAGTCCCCCAAAAACATCGACGGTTTTTTTCGGGCAGGAGATAACACCCTTGATAAGAGGTACCCGGGATTTCGTCCGTTACCCTCGGCAACCCCGGTGTTGGCCTGATAGTATACTCCCGTTGTGGGCTGAGGGCAACACCCCCAACATGGTTGGTGTTGCTGCTCCAGCTCTGGTGTTTCTAAGAAGGAAACAATTCTAAACAGATTATCACAACGGGATAACATCGATATGAATAGCGTCACTGATGGGTCTTTCATATACCCCTCGCAATCTGTTTTTATTTCCAAAGCATAAGATGACTTCATTAAGATGAGCCTCATTCCGCTTTGAACTTGAAAGGGTAGTATTACCACCCATTAGGATATTTTTTTTCAGCGTTTGTAAAAACTATCAACATATCATCTGCGTACATCCCTGGTTAGAACGATTCTCCCAAGTCGATCAAACGTGTACAGTTTCATACCCAAGCCTGTCTGCTAAATAACTTCGCAAACATTTTACGCAACTTCTTTATGCGTTCTACCCTTTTTTCATTAAATTGCGCCCCAACCTCAAGTTTATTGTATCGAGCGAGAACCAGTTAAAATACCTTGACCAACATATAGTAGACGCTGTGGGTAACCACAGTTTCATTCGGGGTGACTCGTGTATGCAGTAAATGGTCTAATACTGACATTTTCATAGTTTAGAGCTAACCCGAGATATGCGATATTTATGGATATACGTGTAAGTGACTCCGTTGCTCTATATAGTTCATTTGTTCATAATGTGCTTCTATATTTTCTATATCCCAAATCGCATTATCCTTGCAATTTCACTATCAATTCTGGGCTGCAAAGGCTTTTTTTCGGCTAAGAATTATAAAGGATTTAGTTATTCGTGCATGTTTTATTTTACCAGATTCCAAAATGCACGCACTGCATGAAAAACCTGGTAGTACAGCGGTTTTGCTCGTATAGCGTGACTTGCATGCTTTATCTGGAGTAATGTTTCAGTTTGCCCAGTGACCAACAATAAAGACATCCACTTGGTGATCGTCATCTGGTTTTGCTATGAGAAACCCAGGACAAAAGATTCCCAGAAACCAAATCTTATTCAGTGCTGGCACGACTCGCGCCAAACTTCAAGTGGAGAACTTTAATTGGGCATGCGCCATTTGATCCAGAATTGGGCACTTGCTGGACGCTGAGGCGGGTGCCAGCAGACCGTTAATGAACGGCACTTAAGTTCAATTTACTGGTGCTGTGCTCCCTCGGAAGAAGAAAACGACGACGACGACGAAGAAGAAGACAACACCAGAAGACGGTTGAGGTTTTATAATACGACATATTGGAAGGAAAAATGTGCCAATTTGACGTGTCGCTTTGTCTTACAATTAGGCGTGCACTTCAGGGTGTTGGGAGGCTTTTAAACGTCTCAATTTGAGCGCGAAATCCAGACGCCTCTCTATCAACAGACTCCATTCCTGACTGAAGCATTCATGTCAACCCGTTGCCATGGTAATATCACGGGCAATAAATGAGCGGCCGGCCGATCGAACGCATGACCACATTTAAACAGCGTCGAGGAGGTGTGTATACAAACAGACATCTTGCGCGTATAGATACAAGTCATGTAGACATAAACACATTTCGAAGCCTGGCACCTTCAACAAATTAGCGGCGAGCAAATAAGTCAGCTAATAGACGTTAATTCGTTTGTTGATGTTGGGGTTAAATTCTCGTTTCACACTGTAAATAGTCACTGACTGCGCATGACACATGCTTCACATGATCGCTTCTTTTCAAATGTCAGATTGAGAACTGATACGGGCGCTTGGAATTTTTAGTCTTCTATTTTTTTAATGATCATTTCTACACTGCAGAAGAGTCATTTGACTGGCAGCTACCATTTTATTTCTTTCGCGCGATGCATTTCAATAATGTGGAGACAACTCCTTCAAAAAAAATTATGCGGGACCTCATTCAGAGTTGCAAGAGTTGACAACGAGGGTTGAAGCCGTTGGCGTATTGGGAGAACGCCCGCCGGCCAGGTGTCAACGAGGTTGTACGGGACTCGGTGGCGACACCTCGAGTAGTAGATCAACAGGGGGAAACAATGCGGGGCCCCCCGGAGGGCAACCCGGCGGGACCGCGACGGGTTACCCCCCTCGCTGACTTGGTTGGCAAGGAGCCTTTCATCGCCGGGTGACACAGCGGTGGGTGACCTGATGGGCCTTTTGCTGTATCCGCTTCGCTCCTGCCCTTCACAGCAGCCCGGTCCGTTCGTGCTAGAACCCGCGGCTGACGAAGTTAGGGTGGGAAACAACTGGGGGACGCGAGGTTGCTATGGTAATGAGCAACTCTTTCTTGGCCTTGTTTATGTTATCGAGAATGCCTCATCTGAATTCACCAGGATAGTTGATAGTTCTGTTGCCTAGCAACCGGAGCCCTGGAAATTGCAAATTTACTGCAAACATTGTGCTTTCTAGTGTCTATCACGAGACGTTATTGGTGTAGGCCTGGTGCTCACAGTGCGTATCTTACACAGCTCCGTCATGAATAAGTTACCTCATGCTCCTCTTATACAAAATTATTTTGGCTAACTCAGGGCCCACAAAAGCATCATTACCATCCTTCTTACTCATCGTCCCCCAACAAATCCCTTCACCCGCCCCCCTTAAATGTTAGCCCCGGGCAACTCCATTTCTTGACTAATTTGTATTGACATTTGAAAAAAGCCATCATTGTTTGGTGGTGTGACTTCATATGAGATTGAAACCGCACCGTCCGTAAGCTGGTCCTGGGGCAAGGCATTAAGAAGGATTGGGATAAGAAAACATCTCGAAAAGACCTTGTAGCACCTTGTTTTTATAATAAAAACGTGTCAGAAGACATTCATGTCACTTGGAATTTTAATTAGAGAAATACAGTTTGAAATACGACTCTAATCTGGGGCCAGAAATGATTCTCACTTATACAAAGTTACAAGTATGCATTTTCGGTACACACCATTGTGGTCACCATTTCGGTCAGTGTTTGGGACTTCTAGAGAAAAAAATCGACTTGTATACAAAGATAAAGATTAGGCATGTTCAATGTGATAATATTTATCGGTACAGCTACATATATCTTTTCGTGATTCGAAATCGCATCAGGTAAATTGCAGATGGGCAGTTCGGTATCATTGGAAAACCATACCATGACGCAAAATCCCATCTTTGGAAACACCTTAGCAAAAACGTATAATTTGCTCAATGCACGTCAGTTGTCCACTTGCCTGCCGTGTGCATTTCAATTCGCGCGTATGATAGCCGCCAACAAAGTGACTTGACAGTTTGTGCTCTCTGCTTAGTATGATGGCGTATTATGGCTACTCATCCCGACCCACCGACCCTCCATAGACTACCGACAGCTCCCTTCTGAAGTGGTGTGGAAACGGAGTTTTCTCCAACTCGAAAGTAATAATAGTCCTAATTGGAAACAAAATAGAATGCAATTTTGATTGACAAACAAAATCTCATAATCCTAAAGTGCAAGGAATCTTCAAAGCTCATTTCGAGATCGTCACATTCTCGTCTGGACGTGTCTCGGCTGTAAAAATAAAATCCAAAAGAAGAAGAAAGAACCCCCCACTCCGAGAAGTGAAAAGCTCTTCCCCTCCGTGAACACAAAGGTGTGAAAATAGGTCACCTTTTTTTTTCAATTACAATTGGTTCTTAATCTGGTGTTATTAAACTCATAGATGGTATCGGGCGGGGAGCCGCCGCGCTATACGGGATTCTAACGGGTTGCCCGGAGCGTCCTTCCCCGTTGATATTAATTTTGATACCGAGGCCCGACGTCTTGATTGTCGGAAGGGCCCGGGTTTCCGCGTCAGCGTTGGAATGCTCCACCGGCGTGTTTTCTTTGGCGGACTTTTTTTTGCCGGCCAGTGTAAACTCGTTGGTGTGTTGGTGAACGATGGTCCCTCTGGGGTTGTACTGTGATATGAGGGAGGAGGGCGGTATTATTTCCATCGGTTTGCCCCCTTAATTTGCTTGACAGTTTTATTGCGAAAAGTCTTATACAGCTGGGGGTCTTGACATCGTTTCTGTCCGTTATCTGTTGCAAGAAACGACAGCTTTCTGGCGGTTTTTCTGCCCTGTAGAATCATCACTTTGTTCACAATTCTTGACTGCCTTTATTATGGAGGTGGCAGAACTCTCCGTGATGTAAGTTTCGTCAAATAGTGGGTTAATGCGGGATTCTTTTCTTTGGACGCACGGGGGCGTATATCATCAAAAAAGTTACCCGATCTCTGACGTCACAGTTCGAAGCAAGCTGGGTGTTTTGTTTGTGAAGCGTGAATACAGTGACAATAAGCTTTGTGCTTGTCGGTTACAAACATAGCTTCCTGAAACAATTACGGTCGTGAAGCAAAGGTGTACGGGTGTGCTCTGGATATGGCCAGAGGAAACAGAAACGCCAACGAGAGCCGTTAACGAGCGGCTAAAGCGATTTCTCATAGACTTGTGTGTTCCCGTGAGCGGTATCCTAGTAAATCTGGACACCGCTTTACAAGGAGGCACATCCAATATGCAAGCGTATAACGATACTCTGAGTGTTCAGTCTGGTCACACCCTCGTCGCATGCAAAAGGCTAGGATATTGTGAAATGCTGATGCCTCTATAAACATTGCAGATGATTTGTCACTTTTGAAGATACTCCATTGAGAAAATATGGCCTTTTCTCGCAAGAAAACGTACCTGAATGCTATTATCAAACATAACTTATTTCCCTGTATAGGCCTATTATAAACTCCAGCTTTCTTTAAGCTAAGGTGCATCTCGGTCGCCAAAAGTAACCAAGACAGAGCATTTTGTTTGCATTTACCTGCTGGGAACCATTTAAACGGATACACATCTTTCTTACACCCACTCTTTACAAAACCTCGAGGGATTTGCTTTCATGAGTAACATTATATGTTTCAAAGTGCACACGGCGGAGACGGGCGCAGAATTTGTTTTGTCTCACAGATGAAATAACATCGACAGCAAATTCAGACGATGTCCGGCTCTCCTTAAAGTGGTTCCTTATTGCAAACTGAAAGAAATATGTATATTTGTAGTCCTATACCAAAGAGAACCTTTGTATCCGTTACTTGATAAAATATCACTTACGTTTCTTAAGGAAATAGCGTATATATACAAGTAGGCCTATCCCCGGTACGATTAATTAACGCTGATGTAACTTGGTAATTTAGCTGTGCAAAGCTAGACTAACTGGCGACGCCATGTTATGCAAATAGCCGCACCAGGCTCTACGGCAAACACGCTGAGTACAGAACCCAATGCCCGATCTTGGCAAATACAAGCCTTTCGGCAAGTGCAGCGGGGACCGAGGCAAATATGAAAAAAAAAAAAGCGGGAAGAACATGCACTATGCCTGATAGGTCAATAAAAGTGTAAAAAAGGAGGGACGGAATGGTTCTGCGTGATGAAAATGGCTAACAATCGTCATTTTAATTGCCCTTAGAGTTAATTAAATTCTGTCGTGCGGTGGAGGAGGGATATGTCGTTAAAAATAGAGAATAAGATTTCACTTATATGTATTAAATTCTCATTTTTCTTCTGTTACTCGATGAACCTTTTCTTTTAGATAGAAATCCCATTCTTTGGTAAAGCGACTCATAAAATCCATTACATCAAAAGGTTTGAACTAATTTAGTCAGTTGGATGATGCTCGATGGGAGTTAGCCCCCCATGGGAATTTGAGATTCTTACCTATTCATTTCCAGACCCCCCTTTTGGCAGTTTTCTCGATATCAAAGGAGGGCATCAAGTGATACGGCCTATACTTTTAAATGAAAGTTTATTTTCCCCTAGTTGCAGGTTTTTCGTCGGCTACCCAAGACGAGGCCGAGCTGAGCGGGTCTCAGACGCCGGCCGGCCGGGACCCCCTCAAGCCCATCCCGGCTAAACGGGAGACCCTGACGGAAGCCGTGTGCAAGGACTTCTGCGACCGGTCGGAGGTCCAGCTAGCGCTTGAGGTAGGTGTTGTAACCAAAGATGAAAAAAGAAAATGTAGGTCAAAATCCACTTTTGGTCACAGAAGCCAACTCTGCTAAGCAGTTTTTACAGAAAGATTTGACGAATTTACATAAAAGAAGTCACAAGAAACTGAAAAGCGCACTCAAGGACAAAAAGTAAAATTTGCCCCAAGTTTGTCATGTTCTTGTTACAGTGGTTACGGTATTTTATGAGACAGAACGTGGCCAAAGGCCCTTATCTGCTCAAAGGTTTAAAATTAAGCAATAATTTTGAATTCTACAAAGATAAAAATTCTTTTCATGCTCCGGCTATGGAAAACCTTACGCAGTCTAAAACTCATACTCAAAATTAAACAAAAATACTTCAGATAGCAGTAGATTCAAGCAGAAATTAAACTGATCTCTAGTCTAGTCTATGGACGATGGATTATTTTTGAGATTTTCAGCAAGTGCACGCTCCGGCCGCTCATGACAGATACCCAAGCATCGAGGTATATCCAGGGAGTCAGGTACAAAATGTGTAGTGTTTTCCAGCTTCTGGATGCGATTCGACAGGAGACTAATCCTCCTTCCTAACTTTAAAGAGAGCCCTAAGTAGACGACGACTGTCGCCACAGAAGTTCCCAGGTCTATGCCTTATACGTCTACCGGCCCGGAATCTACGCATCCCGTCGCCCAGCCGTGTAATCGAGGAGGAACGGACCGGGCCCTTGTCTGGCTAGGCCTGGTTAATATTGGACCAGAGAGCACACATCGGTGGGCTTTCGCCATCGAGCCTATTGACGGACGCTCTGATGAACTCCAACCATGATAAAAAAAAGAGGAATCGTACCAGAAACAGACGGAGGAATACTGCATGTAAACCTGCCACTCTAGTGTAAAATGATCCGACAGAACGGTTCCGACCCTGCATACAGCATGCGCGGCAAAGCACAGTCATACGATATTTTCAAGACCGTTTTTATGTCCACATTACACGGCAGCAATCCTTTGCACTCTAATCTTATATCTTGCTGGAATTTTCTGATTTGCCCGAATCATTTTCGTTGTTAATGGTCGTCTCTCTGCTTAATCGTTGCAGTGATTTTTGCTTTAAAATGCCTAAGGAGTTTTCCTCCACGGCAGCTTGGCTTTTAACATTTGTAATTATCTCAATAGTAGTGTAAAACACCAATTCAGTTTACCTCTTTCCCAATGATTTTACGTCATCTATTATTGACGTGCACGTAATTATTAATGTACACACATCGTGCGTAACGAGTGGGTTCAGTTAAGAGAACAGGCCCTTACGCACGAGGGGGCGCTTTTCCTATTTGTACATGAGCACAATTTCCACTCTTAGTTCACCATTCAACACATTATTTAGAAAGAAACAGAAAACAAGTGTACCTGTCGGGAAAAAACATAGAACACTAGTGCAGAGCGCACACGGAAAAGTAGACACCAGTGGTCAGCTTTTTGGCGCACTTTTTCTAGCAAGAATCAGGTGGCAAATGAACTTTAAAAATGTGTGTGTGTTCCAGGTTAGGGCGCTGTAATTGTGTGAAATGGGTTCCTGCGGAGGGAAAACTGTGCGCCTGGGCCCGGACCAGATTTAATTATCACAGGGGGTTAATTGAATTGTGTATAGTGAGCTATTTAGGTCCTCCGAGTGCCTATGGAGCATTGTGTGTGCTGTGTACCGACAGCATAGTTAGAGGAAGGTTGGGCAATATCGAGCGGCGCATTCGGAGACGAGATGCGTCGAGCAAGCAGTTGTCATGGTAAGGGATAAATTCGAACAGCGAGACGAGGATGCTTGTAATTTCTCTTTTGAAGGGACATCTGCCGCACTTTTGTTAATTGGCGAGACACAATTTAACATAGTTGCCATTTCACAGGAGAAAAAGTACGAGGGCATTTTCTACTACTCCAATTTTGGTCTGAAGATTGACTTTTTATTCTACACGTGCATGTAACATTCTGGAACGAGCTAGCCTGGCACCAGGCTGTGGGTTAACAGGGATTCTAAACCAAGTGCAAACACGGTTGGATAGAAGGCATAAAACTGACAGGTGATCTTAACAAAAATACTTGTTGACTTTTTGTTATAGTTATTTAACCACAAAATGAATACAAGGAATGAGAAACTACATACTATTTTTGCAACATTTAACCATTACTTGTTGAAGCGATAAACATGATATCTTGGCTTGTCAAGTTTTGCATTAAATTCTACTGAGCATGATACAAAAGTTACAAGATAATTCAAAATATCAGGTGTCATGAAATCAATATCGGCATGACACCCAAAGTCCCCATACATTATTAGCAACTGTCAAGAATTATAAATTTCCATGGATTTTTGTTTGTCAAGCACACGTATCTTGATTTCGACAATCATCTTGGTTTATGGCAGAGATAGAATATTCAATTTTGAAGCTTTAAATCCACAATGGGGCAAGGATATTAAATTACTGATCAACTGAATCTTGATACACTATGTCTCACGCCCTCAACATCCTTAGCCATCAACTCCTCCCACCCGTAACAAAAGGAATTATGACACATGTGCATAACAATAATTATAATGATATCTTGCTAATGAACGTAAACTTGGACGAAATTGTTGGAGCTTTCTAAAACACAATGTCAACTTTTCCCCCCTTCAAATATTTTTCGACTCTGAATAAATCTTGGAGTTTCCAGGTTTTGGGTTGTTAAATCCGAAGCCAATTGCATGGAAATGCTACTTCATGAAAAAAACAAAAGCAGAATGTTAACACCAGCCAAAAATACCACGCGGTGACTACTGCAAAGGACTGGTTGCCAAATGAGTTGCACTCAAGGCATAAGTTTGCTGAGAGACACTGCTACCGAGTTCAGACCCTGGTTACAATCTTGGGCAACGCGGTTCACGTCTGCTACATCTGTCTCTGTGCCAAACTTTCCTCAGTCCTTCAACATCCTCCACGGTGCAGAAAACCCACGGAACATTCTTTGTACTTGAAGTTGAACTGTCAAGGGGCCAGTGGCATAGCCATGGAGGCACATGGCACGTGCCCCCCCATAAATTCCTGGTGGCCCCCCCCAAAAAAACAGAGGAATGGATATAGAACAAGGCCGACAAAAACTTGCCCAAAAAACCACACCACTGAAAGCTGGTGCCCCCTTTAAGATGCTGGTGTGCCTTTGTACCCCTCCCCCCCCAGTAAAATCCTAGCTACGCCACTGCATCAAGCCCTATGTCATGTATGTAGAGTAACTGTGGCTGGGTGCTCTATACCCCTAATTCCTGCAAAATCTTGCCAAACATTCTGTTGGATGCTGAAGGATCTAGGAGGGTGAACAGGCATGAAACTTGGACTTCAGATGTAACAATGGAGGGCATTCTAGACCTAGCATGGTGTTTTTAAATCAAATTTTTATAATGGTCAGCTGATCTGAGGAAAAACTGCAGGCCTGGGAGAGAATTAGGCAGTCTGGGTTTGTGTTGAAGTGTAGACTTTTCCACCATTCACTTTCCACGAAGCAAGTTTTCCATGTCCTTTTCCAGTTGTCTTATCACAGCGTAGTTCATGAACACCAGCCGGCCGCTGGGGAGGAACTGGTGCACGATGATTGCCACGCGGTCTCCTCTGGTCAGCAATTCGGCCGGCTGTGTGGCTGCTTGCACATGTTCCTGGAGGTACCTCAACAGCAGCTTGAGTGTGCTCTCTGCCAGGAGACGGTTCTCGCTCCTCTCGCAGACCAGGGCGAGCCCAATGTTTGCCAGTCCCAGCCAGACGACTACCTTTTCCATCCGGAACGGGTCGCCTGCAAGCAGCCGGAAAAATCCCACATCCCATTGGCCGGCATCGTCTAGGGACACCGCAAGGGAAAGCCCACCGGCAACCTGCTCTGACTGGTCCCTGGAGCAGGCTGACCTTCGGAACGAGTACTCTGACTGGACCTGTCGGCCCACGAGAGCCAGCTGTTCTTTCTTGAAGGTTCTCCGGTCAATCACCTGGTCGGACGTGTTGCTGCTCAGTGGCAGCTCTGCTGGGTCATCCAGAGAGTCTTCAGAGCCAAATGTACAAGCATAGAGTACACGGCAGGCTTCAGCTTCTACTGATGGGTTCAGCGTATGAATGATGAATGCATACACCATTTTCACTCAGTTTATGGCTGTCGGCAGGTTAGCCAGTGGTGGTCAACAGATGCTGAGGATAGTACTAGCTCAAACATGGAAGCTGCAAAGCAAATTTGTCATAAACAACCGTTTCGCCGGCAGTAAACAGGATGATATGCCGACATATGACGTGATGTAACGATGCAGGTTACATTTCATCTCGCCGCGTCATGCTCAAACAATCTGACATTACTAGTAACTTTACTAACGAACCTATAAGCAATGATAAAAGCCAGGCAACTCATTAACATCGTACAAATAAGCCAAACAACAAGGGGTTGATGCTCAGTTCCCAGAACCGCACAAACAGCGAGGACGATTGGCGCTGCATACACCGTACCGGGTCCAAAGAGCGAAATGTTGTGCGAGGCACCATCTTCCGCGTTTTACAAATGTTGACTCTTGAGGGCGCTCTGTAAACTTGCCAAGTAAAGGACAAGCGCGTGCGCGTGCATGCTGCGCCCAGTGCAGTTTATCGTCTCTGTGATGCGGCGCTCCCGGTATGGAAAATTGGCCAAAAACACACCGAGAATGTCTCATGAATAAGTGAAATAATACTTTGTGACATTCAGTGTGTTTATAAAAATCCCTCTGAAGAATGAACTCTCCGTTAGACTCTCAACCAGGAAAAAAACAATCGAAGGAAGTAGGCCTGCGGTACGTCGCGCGCGCATCGAGAACGTCTATTTGTCGCAAGGTGATTGCCTACCAATGAATCGCAATTTTCGTTTATGCAGGTCGAATCATTACAAATTACATACCAAATGATAGATGAATACCTATTTTAGTTACGTTAGGCCTCAAAACATTATTGAAAGCTCTAAAATATTGTAAAATCGCCGTCAAACTCAGAGATTCTTACCGAAAATTTAGAGTTCCTGACTTTTCACAGCTGGAAATGTGGCCAAAGCAAAGCCTGTCCTGACCAATTGCTGTTTATGTAACCAAAAACAAGGCTCCATCCAGGACCCAAAGCCATTTAACTTACTTTTCCATTAGTCAGTTTTTTTTTAAATAACTTCATCAGAATGTTCCCTATGCTTTGCTTTGACGCAGCGAGCCTCGACAAAACGATGACATGAGCAATGTTTTTTTTTATCAACCAGTGAGAACCGGCACTTTCTAATACAGGGCATTAACCTTTTTTCCTGTCATTGTAAAACCTGTGCAGTGTAGGCCTAGCCCTAGCGTAACCATGGCCTAACCAATCACCATACATGTATCACTGGTGCATCAGTACGTGGCAGTGCAGTTCACTTATGACCACTCACGCGTAGCCAATGCCTTTATCTTTGAGCAGACTTGAATTCTCAATTCTGATTGGTTGATCCGTGGCATCAAACACTGCTAATGCGTTGTTCCAACTCTATGCAATGCGGTATTTGTACGCCAAAAGCAAAACGTAAAACTGCAAAAGTTACTTCTAATTCAAAGGTGGCGCATTTGTGCACATAGGCCAGAGAGCTATACATGTTTTTATATACAGCTCTGAGAGAAACCCTGTAAGTTTGCTTGAAGATAAATTTGTTTTTAATGCCATTGCTCATGGAACACCGAGTAATGTAGTGCATCTGTGTCCTGTATACCAGCCTCGATCGTGCAACACAGACACTCTACAGTACTCTGTGTTCCCTCGTACTTGTGTGATTAGTTATACGGGGTATGTGTGTATCATGCATGTACGTACAACGCTGTTTATCTGCTACAGTTCAGTCCTGCTGGATGTTGACAATTTTATTTTCCTGTTTAACACATTAAAGAACTACCTCAAAGAGTTCCATTTACAGACAACATTAATTTTCCCTTATAAAATGTTATAATGGCCATCAGAAAGAGAAACATGTAACATGTCCTAAAAAGTGAAATTTAGCAAAGAAAATTCCAAAGCTTTTACTTAGAAAATGTGGTTTTTTTTTCATACAAGTCTCAGGTTTGTCCACAGGGTCGGGCATGAAATGTTCCAAACAATCTTCCAGGTGTGAAATAAGAAAAAAAAAGTCAAAAGAATGTTAAAATGTAATATTGAGTGGTTGCGTAGTGCGCTGTCTTGGTTGGAGGAAAGGCTATCGTGTCTTTGTAACAGACGCGTTTTACTTCACTCACTCAATTTACATAAACAAAAAATTCTCTTCCTCACATGATGGTACACTTTAGCAAGCACTTTGTTTCATCCTGTCGCCATTTCCGTGGTTCAGCATCTGTATCAAGTGTTCAGAGGCCATTAGGAGTTGACATGGTTGACAACATCGCCAAAATGTCTTCAAAGTTGGAAATGCTTTCAGGATCAGATTCGTGTCTCAGTAAAGTCTTTGAAATAATTGACCGTCACTGAGATAATGAAGAAAAAAGTGGCATCAGGAAGCCATATTCATTCCTGTTGTGTTAAAAAGACTAAAGGTAACAGTTTTTTTTAATTGGGATCATCACATCATCGACCTTTCTCCCCATCCAGGCTCTCGATGGGTTCCTGCTTGTGGTCACTTCCGATGGGACCATCCTCTACTCCACCGAGAATATCTCCAGCCACCTGGGCTTCCACCAGGTGGACCTGGTGCACCGGTGCCTCTACGGCATCGTCCACCCGGACGACCACCTGGAGCTCAAGGGGGTGCTGGAGCAGACCCTGTCGTCCACCGGCTGCCAGTCGCGGGTGCAGGTCAGGCCACGCAAAATAAATCGTCACTTCTTCATAACTTTCTCGTTCCTTACTGCATGTTTGTGACCCGGCCAAACGATACGAGTTGGATGTCATCAGAAACTTGAGCTTGATTTCATGGGCCTGTAACCCTAACCTTTGAGGTTTTGTGAGAATCACGTATAATCTCGTTTGATTTGCCATAATTTGGTTAAAAGAATCTCGCATATGGCAACTCGGTAGGAACTCTCCACATTTCTCACCAACCTACGTTTGTAAATATCCATTTTCATGATGATGCCGGACTGAGTGATACCTCAAAATTGGCCCAATTTGCACTGTCTAATGCAAACTAAAGCCAACTTACCGAAAAAATACCAAAGGACTTTGGCGTGTTCAAAATCACGAGCAAATATCTAGAAAAAATGCCCCACCCAATTTGTCCTTCAAATCTGACCCTAGTTAGGCCACTGAAAACGTCCCCTATTCACTGGGAAGTGTTTAAATTTCCTTAAAAGGGGAAACACAGAGATTTTCCAGTAAAAGAAAATCCATTGCAAGGTGATCATAAGGTTATTTCCTTCCCCAGTCAAACTCTGCTGATTACATGAGTTATGCCCATTCGTAAATTTCAATAGTGTTGTGCAAACTCACTGCAGATGGAAGCAGCGTACAGCGTTGGTTGTGGAATGGAGGAGCGGGGGACCGGTGATGCTTGTAAAGTCTCGTTCCTGTGCAGGATGAAATGCTTCAATGGAACCAGCACAGGGTTTGTGGTAAGTCTGACTCTGTGCCTCAGAGTGGAGGCAAGTGAGTTTGAACCCTGAGGCTGAATCAGTGCATGCTGAACTTCTTTGAAAAGACGGACCAGGAAGGAGTCAGGTGGCATGACTGGAAATGTCAGTGTAGAGTATAAATAGAGCCTTGGCACCGGATGTTTCTTGAGACAAGCTTCGTTCGTGTAGTGCTAGAGTTGGGCTTGCTGATCTTCGCGTCAGTCCTTTTTTGTTTGCATTTTTAAAAACTCTTTGAAGTTTTAGGGCTCTCAATATGAAATTTTTGGACTACCCCAATGCAGTGTTGTATTCCGGCCCATCATCAGTCCCCGCAGGGCCCTTCAAGTCCACCACAAGTCCATCACAGGTCATCCAGCCACAAGTCAAGTCACAAGGTATTCGGATGAACCGTAACGAAAAACATTCCTTTGCCATTGTTTCCCGCGTTGCTCGTGGCTGGACCCGCGAAGGGACTTGCGATGGACTGGACGACGACACTGCCCTCGTTTGCGCCACTCAAAATCTAATGTATTTTTCCCCACCCAGAAAATGCACTGCTGTGGGGGTATGCGCTCGTTCCCGGGCGCCGTCAAGTCCAGCCGGACCTCCTGCCAGGTCTTGTTCCTGGCCTTCCGGCCCATCACCTCCCTGGCCCAGGACACGGACATCGAGTTCAAGCAGAACGTCTTCTGGAGCAAGCACGAGATGGACCTCAGCGTCAAGCTGCTGGACACCAGGTGCGGAAAGGAAGATCTTAATCCTTACATTTTTCCAGACACAAATAATGAATGGTTACATGTGTAAGGGCAAGAGAAATGTCATGAGGCAACAGCTGGAATTCTCTGTTCAAAGAGGTTGATCTGAGAGCATTCTCACCCATTGAATGAAAGTATTCATACATTACATTAGTGTGAACCTTCCATTATATTGTTTTATATTTACCAAACCTGAGTAAATCTTTGTACAATTCACTATTTTCCAAATAATGCTTAAAAGTCATTTGGCATTTGTCTTGATTTGAAAAGTTGGTCAATAAGGAATTGTTCTCTCTTCAGAATTTGTCCTTTTTCTGTTAAAAACTATGTAATCTGTTTTTGCTGACTCACTTTGAAAAAAATCAAGTACCCTTTTTAAATTTCTTTTTTTTTTTAAATTGAGTTTATCCAGGCAAACATTTTGTGACACACTGGGAAACTCTTCCACCCCTTCCAGTGTAGAGTTTGGGGGTGAACCGTTCATGAATTTCAGCTTGCTTAAAACAAGATACTTCAAGAGATAGTTAGAAATTGTTGAAAACTGATCAGGATCAAATTTGAAGTCTTTTTGTTTTGTTTTGCTTTACATTGGATCATGGCTATTCAAAAAACAGGTTTTGTTTCAACGATGTCAAAATTTCAGCATTTCAGTGCAGAAATATTTATCTGGTCAAATTAGTCCTTGAAACAAAACCTGTTTTTCAAATATTTCAGCGATGGTGAAATTTCAGCATTTCAGTGCAAAATATTCATCTGTTCAAATTTAGTTTCTGACATCTTAGACAAATCCTTGAATGTCATCTTTAGATACTTGCTCAGCTTCCGACATTGTTATTTTGCTCAAGGGCGGAATTCTCCACACGAACCAATCACCTCTCATTGTGCATGTACCACCAAAGAAATGTTTTCCCTTTTCTTTGCCCGGCAGTAATATATATAGAAATCCCTTTTCCTTTTTTTACCTGAGACCATTCCACTGGCTTTCAATTCACAGTCCGTAGTGTGATTAAAAAAAAAAAAGAATCTAATTGCGAGTACCAAATTGAATTTCCGTGAGCGGGAATTTCTTATATCTGTTTTTAACAAACACCCTGACAGATCGGGTGGGGGGGGATCATTGCCCGCAGTCCTAGCGACGGCCCCACCACCCACTCAACCTTGTCAATCACTCCTAATCAGATTATCTGTTGGTAAATTGCCTCAGTGAATTGGGTACAGGAAAAAGAAAAGGGTTCTGGCCAGCGTACTTGACCCGGCACGAGATAAGCGGCCATTATACCTGCGTTGGTACACACGGTGAACTCGTCGATGACGCTTGTCTTTGACTGTTTCCATTTCCAGAAAATGATTTTGTAAACAGGAGACTGTATGGTGCCACTTATTGAGCACCACCTGCTCAGAACTGTCCAGCTAATTGATATTTGGTGTTACTTTGCTTTACAGCAATATTCCTGATAAGAAAAAAATTAAATTCCAGTTCAGGGGCTGAAAACAGGGTTGGATCCTGGGCCAAATTTCTGAAAGGTTGGGCCAAATTATTTTGAAAGTTTTTGCGACCTTTGAAGGCCTTTCTGCGGTTGAGGCTGTACACGTATTTGGTGCTCTTTTACAGACTTTTGGAAAGAAGGGAAGAGACATAGATTTCCCCCCCCCCAAAAAAAATAAAATTGTTTTTCTCTCAGTAGTAAAAAATGCCTCTGCACATAGTCTCCTTTACCCGTTGCCCCTTTATCCAGCCACCAACTTTCTCACCCCTTCTTTATGCCCCCCCTGCATATGTCCATGCTTGCTTGATTCCTCGTTTGCTTGTTTGTCACTGTCCAGTCGTCAGTTTTGCCAGAAAGATTCTGTTAGGATCAAAATGTCAGCCCCTCTTACTGTTTCGATGTGCATTTTAGGTTGCTTTGGGAGTTCATATAAAACAGATTCATTTTTCATTGACTTGAAAGGAGACAGCAAGTTGTTTCCTTGTAATAAAGCTACGGAGAGATAAGGAAGTCTCAAATTCATTTGATCTCTTTCTTGTACATTCTTGACATTTTCTGGCAATTTTGGCAACATGGCGTACGCATTCACGCCCACATGTGCTGAGCTGGGTGCGCCGAGGTAATAAGCCAGATCACCAATTACTCAACTGCAGCTTGAACAAGGCCGGGAGTCTGGGAACCATCGGTATGTCATACTTTAATTGTTTTCCCCGCAGGGCCTATGACATTTTGGGATTTGAGCCTAGTGAACTGGAAGGCAAGTCGCTATACGACATGATCCATCCGCAAGACCTGGCCGCCATGTTCGCTTGCCACAAGACCCGTAAGTCAGTCGCTTTCATTTTTATACCTCATACTCTGCGTAACAAAGTGTAAAATCTGATAAATTACTTGTTAAACTTGTGGCAGAAGCTGCAGATTGAGGTAGATACGTTATGAAGTTTTCTACTTGTGGAAATTGAAAAACATACCAGCTGGCAGTTTTCAAGATGAATCTTAGATGTTTATGTATAAAAACGTACCCCGTCTCTGTTTCCAACAGTTTTCATCATTGAATCTTAAACTATAATTCAAATTGGCATTTGCCCGGGTGTCTTAATTTCATTTACTCCCATTTTCCTGTGACTTTTCACATTGGTCAAAAAGCTCCTGGCTCTGGGGCATTGTAAGTTTGGATGCACCAGAACAGAACCCCTGAAAAAAAAAAGAAGAAACTACCTGGGTAGAAGGTGTCCAGAGAAAAACAAAGCAACGTCTGAAGGATGTGACTTTAGAACTAGGCTGCCTCGTCATAGAAAATAAAACGAAAATAACTTCATTGTGGATTTTCATTGTGCCAAGCTGGGGCTGTGTTGCTGGACCACACAATACTCCAAGCAGACAGAGTTGGTACCATGTCATTTTCTGCGAGTCCAAGTCCAGATTTGGTTCTAAGTCATTTGGTCACAGGTCAACTCCAGTCAATTAACCCAAATGCAAGGCAAGTCAGAAGCCTCTCTGTCCGGGTGCAAAGTCAAGTCACACATTATTGTGTCTGGCTGTGATTAAGCAAATAGGGCCAGGCGTTAACTTAAGAATTACAAGTTTTGGACTGTTGAACTTTACTCGCTTTGATAAGTGATACTTATACTTTAATCACAAATTGATAGGCCTAATTTCAAAGTTCGGGGGGGTCACTCAAGTAGCTTGTGTTGGTTACAAGTCATAACTTTTGGAAGTCCTAGTTGTATCACAAGTCCAAGCTGGTAGTTACAAGTCAACTCCCAAAAAATAGCAACTCAAGTCTGACTCAAGTCTGACTCGAGTTCATGTGGCATGAGTCGAGTCAACAACTCTACCAGCTCATGATGTACAGAAAGGATAGGCTGAAATTCTTAGGCTCTTCCCAAATCAAATGGTTTTGGCTGAGAGCGGCACACAAGCCTATGGCAAATTGCTTCAGCCTCTAGTGAGTGGCATCCATAGGTACAAGGGTTATTTTAAGCCATGGCCATATCTTTGGAGGTGGCCATACTGGAGCCTCTTGTGATTTTCCTTGTTCAAAATATCCCATTTCCGCCGATGATTTTTCTTGCAGTGGTGGACACGGACGAGATCCACACACTGTATTTCCGGCTGATGACCAAGAACTCCTCATGGGTGTGGCTTCACACAAGGGCGAAGGTCATCACCAAGAACTCCCGTAAGCACTCCATAGTGCTAACGCATTGCCCTGTCAGGTGAGTCGATCTAGCCGTGTTTCAGCAATGTGCGTCAATTGGTGTTTCCTCAAGCACTTGATGGCCTTCATGACAGAGTTGCTGACTCGAGTCATGTGACTTGGACTCGAGTCGGACTGGAGTAGCTATTGTTGTGACTTGTGACTTGACTTGGACTTGCAAAAAATGACTTGTGACTTGACTTGGACTTGCAAAAAAGGACTTGTGACTTGACTTGGACTTGCGGAAAAGGACTTGTGACTAGACTTGGACTTGCACAAAATGACTTGTTGCCGACCCAAGTCAGACGTTACTCGACCGTCTCCATATATTTTTAAGCTATTCAGTTTACATCTTATGTGCATAAAAAACGGACTTCAGCTTGCACACCGGCTTCTGCTTCACCCAGCTGCAGCTGTAGATCAGGGCAGCGCGCATATCATGCTGCTACGTTGCATTGCATTGACGTGTGACTAGGATAAACAGCGCCCTCACTATCTCATCATTTTTACCTCAACACAGCAAAGTACATTTATTAAATTAAACAGAAGTCCAATATACGACAGATATGTGATTAACTGCAAGAATAGTAATTACCACACAAGTGAAAAAGAGAATTATGGAGGCATTGTCAACATAATAGGAGAAAAGGTATCATTTGTCCAAAACTCATAACTTGTAACTTCGTAAGTTGACGCCTGGTTCTTTTTGCTTAATATTACAGCTGGACAAAATAACGTGCAGCTTGACTTGTACTTGGACAAAGAGACTTGTGACCTGAATTGTGTTTAGACCAAATGACTTGTGACTTGACCTGTGACCAACTGACTTGTGAAATGACTTGGACTTGCATATAATGACTTGTGAAATGACTTGGACTTGCAAAAAATGACTTGCTGCTACCTCTGCTTTATGTATACAGCACTGTCAATGATACAACTGAAAAACATTACTGTGATTGACCTCTTGCCGTTTGCGAATTAGCCACACCCTTAAACAACTGTATGGAATTTTGTATTTTGAGTCTTGTTTTTCTCAGCTTTTGTGCGGCCCGTGTCCATTTTGTAGGTATTTCATGAGCCTACGTTGACACGGTTCTGCTAAGATAGTTCAATTGAAAGACCCTGCCTCCATCCGCATGCCCATGTTCAGCTGACTCCTTCGTGTGAGGACACTACGGGCATTTGCGAGCATCTCGTTGAAAACTAATTGTATGTTACATATCAAGGGTTCCCCTCCAGAAATTCATTTCATTGGAAAGCTCAGAATGAACTGAATTCAGAAGCTGCAACGTAATCTTCCATTGCAGAGGGAACCCCTTATTGTGCTTGAAACACTTCCCAGCAGATTTTGAAGGATTGTGTTAGTTTAAGAAATTATCTTGACAAAAAAAGTAATATTTCAATGTCAAACAAATGAAGGATTTTTTTAAATATTATGTTTACAACTTTTTATATCTCACAGGGAAATGGACAATTCGTACCTGCACCAGGAGGCCCGGGCAAGGACCAGGTATGGCCTGGACGAGTACCTCAAGCTGAAGCACATGAACCACTCAGGAACGGACGGGGAGACGTCATCTACCCCACCCCAGTCGGACGCCAGCCAGAACAAACGGCGCTGGACCAGCAACGACACCTACGTGGTGGCCAGCCAGAGCCCGTACAAGCTGAAGGATGACTACTCGGCGTCGCTGCACAGCCCCCATGGGGCCTGCCCGTCAAGCTACCATCAGAGCTCGGAACGGCACTCCCCCGTCTACCCATCCACCTATGCCCCTCACCGCTACCAGAAGGCTGCCCAGGGGTTGCAGAGCTCCCCGGAGAAGGCGCCCCTTGAGCGGGAGCCTCCGCCGATGAACGTTAACTTCTACGATTATGCCCATTCGTCGGACGATTTCATCCCGGGCGGCCCGCTCCATCCAAATCACCCCCAGCCCCACCCAGCGCTCTCGATGTATCAGATGGTAGCGCACCTGCCACCTGAGATGTACGATGCGGAATCGTACCGCAAGCACGCCCTCATGTTCATGGAGAGTCATACCCAGCTGGCAGGGCCTGGTATGGTGCCAAATTATCACCACCACCACATGGGGCAGTATCAACTCCCACTCACCCCGCAGACCTCGCCCCAGTCCTTCTACCCACAGGGACACTTCCCCGTGCACTACCCAGAACACATACCAACGGGTCACCCAGCAGGGCGCCCCGTGGGGCCAGAGACGCTCTCCCCTCCCCCTTCGCCAGACCGAAATTTCAAGCCTGCCTGCATGTACTCATCTGTCGGTCCAGGTGAAGGTTTGAACAAAGGACCCGAGCCAGTCTTTCCCGCTGACTGTTGCAAGGCCGAGCACTACGCCTCTTTAGTTGTAAACGGTGCTGTGCAAGTGAGGCTACTGGACGGTGCAACATACCCGCGCACCCAGTACACCAATGGCTATAGCCATGAATATCCCCACGGCGACCAGTACTCATCAGAGACAAGCTGTCTCTACGGCAACCACTACGAATCAGACATCGAGCTGAAGCCCTTCCAGAGGGTGAATGCTCCGCCCCTGCACAAAATGGACAGTTCACACCGCAGCCTTGTCTCCTACGCAGAGAGTCCTACTGGCAGCAACCTACCGAATCATGGCTACCATAGCGACAGAGTGGCACATGATCGGGAGAGATGCTTACCGTGCCCAATGGCCAACACAAAGAACGGTTGCCTAGCGCCCAAGTTACCTCCAGTGAATGAGGTCCGCATCGTAAGTCCTGCCTCCTCCTTACCTCCTATCGGAAGTTTCCTGGATTTCCTGAATGAGGATGCTGACATTCCGGCAGCCGAAGAAGCGTGTTAATAAAAAAGATTCAGCGAGCTTACAAACAAGACCGGCTGTACGGTTTTGCTCTCAACGTAGACTTGATCAACCACTGTCGTTCGTTGCCAGTCGATTTTCTCCAGTAAAAGCATTTTGTTGAAGCACATTTCAGAAATGATTTTGCACCTACCGATAAAAGCAAAACCGGGTTCCTCTTTTTCATTTTTTCTTTTTCTGTTAGAGACGACACACATAAGTGAAGCCACAAACTAATAGTCTTGTTTATTGACAGGAAGTCTATCCAAAAAAATCATTGGACATTTTCTAGTCTTGTGATCTTGTCTGCTGCTGAAAATTTCTTGCTGCTTAATTTCTTTTTTGGGAGAGGTGAGAAATTCTTTAAATTGTTCCTGGCTGTTGATGATGTCAGTGTTTCTATAGGGGAATTATTCTTAACCATTTCTCGTGATTGTGAGAAAGTCTTTTAATCTATTCTATTTGGTTCAGTTCTCAGGTGTAACTGTTCGATTGGCAAAATGTAATTGCATAACATGTAAAACTTAGCTCAAGATTGAATACATGCACACGTGACCTGCAAGCACGATGTGGTCACTTTACGGGTTCTTACACCAGTTCATGTGACCAAGGTAGTTTTGTTTTGTGGCTTCAAACTATCACGGGTTCGTGGCAGATTCTGTGTGTTGTGTTCAACGGTGGTTCTTCTCCATTTCGATTCCTCGGTTTCAATTTGAAGCAGTTCCTTCACACACCTTCCTAAAGATAGCTCGTGAGAGTCGGGCAAGTTTTGCTTTCACTGTGTCCTGCTATTGCAAGTCGTTTTGTCAATTTCTAATCGTAAATCTGTACTGTACAAACTATGTATTTACTGATTGATACTAGCTATTTATATGTATATATCCGTACTCTATTAAAGTTGGTCTGAAAAGTGCCAAAGAAAACAGTTGTGGGGCGTGCATGGTGTTTGCACACGCAGGGCCTTTTTTCACTTTCGGTGAGTTATCAAATCTTTCATAAGATAAAAAAATGTCTGTGAAACAGAAGTAAGCAGGGCCCAATGTCATAGCGTTGCTAAACAGCTACTGGATGAGTTGGGCTTATTAGAGCAGAAAGACTGAGTTGCTCAGGCTGTGGACGTAGTAACAGTGGGGTGCTCATGCATTAAGATCTCTCTTGTGTTACGGATTTAAGGCAACTTTCCCTTCCCGTGGGGTTAGGCGTGCCATTGCCGCATTTGCTGCTCGTTGGTCTCCCTGAAATAAAGGCAGCAATCAGCTGTTAAGCAGCACTAGTAAACTGGGCCCAGGTACATTCTGGTCTCTCTCTGCATTGCCCATGACAGCTGGACATTGTAATGTCATCAACAATCCCATTGACAGTACTTTACAGGGACTAGGAAACGACTTGATGAAAAGTTGTCAGGATGTAAAGGAACAGACTGGGCTGAATTTGGTGCTTTTGTTGTCAAGAGCAAAATAGATTTGGTTCTCAGTCCTTCCATTTTATTCATAAACTCCAAAACAACACCATAATGATAAGAACCGGGGGAGGGGGTGTTTTTAAATATGGGCTTCATCTCCATTTTGGCCACAGGCATCACGTTCATAGATTTAGTTTCCAGATTTGAGAGCTTACAGCTCAAAGAAGCTTCATTTCTACTGTAGGAGCTTCAACTGGTCTAGGTCTATGATTGAAGTAGTGTCATAAAGGAGGCTTGAGATGGCTCCAAAGATGAAGACGAAAAATGCCACAGAAATGCCAGCTCTCCTTTTTTTAAACTGGCTTTCGAGGTACTACTGCTACATAAGAATCTGTGGATTCCAGGCAAGTGTTCTACGTAGAAAGTTTTTGCATTTCTACGGCAGATTAAAAATACACCATGCCCACTCTGTTAGCTGAGACTCTTCAAGACCATCACAAGACCTCCAGTCTGATTCAAGTCACAAGCAGTTCAAATGGACTGCGACAAAAGCATTCCTTTGTCATTGTTGACCTTGTCATTTGTGCCTGGTCTTGCACTGGTAACTGGCTTCAGGTTTGGTGCCTGGTCTTGGGTCTGTCCTTGTGACAGACTTTAGGTTTGGTCTTGTGACTGGTCTTGGGTCTGGTCTCGGGTAAAGGACTGAGCATGCCCCACTTACACAAGACTACTCTGTATGATTCCAGATCACACTTTTTGCAGGCCTAGAAGTGTGCAGTAACATTGGAACTGGACTTAGTTTAATAAGGCTAATGTAAATATGTGAACAAAAATATTTCATGTTGAAATGGAAAATGAAAGTGGGAATGTTTTATTGTCATAATTCATGACGTTCATCTTCAGTCTTTTTCTACTTGAGCTGAATGTGTGTGGGTTGGAATTCTTTGGATTGGAGTTCGGGTGGTGGTGGTGCGGCTGTGGGGGGCTAACGTCCGAATTAAGGCCAGAGACTCTAAGGACGATGTCATTTTTGATGTGAACTTCAGAGTGGGGCTTTTTTTTTCAACCTTTGTCTATTTCTTATTGTGCTAAATACATGCACATGTATACTATAAATGCCCCATTCAACACTAGTTGTATACCTGATTCATTCCTGGGGTGGGGGTTGTCCTATTATTTTATTTTTGCGGGGGCAGAGTGGGTCGTGTCAGAGGTCATCATGCCCTTTGAAAAATCTGCAAGCAACAAAAGTATGAAATAACGTTAAGCTTCAAAAAGTCTGGTACTTCAGGGAGTTGCTATTTATCGCCCATCAGTTTTCCTATTAATTTCTGAGAATATTTTGAGAAAAAAAGTTATGAAAAACAGAGCAATTTCAGAGCATGGCAAAGGTAGTGTGATTTGGACATTGGGGCAGTGTTACTGGCAGTGTTCCCGGGAGAGAAAAAGCAACAAACTTGCAAGAATCAAAGGCAAACCCTTGCATGCATCTCGTAAAAGCTAGAAGAAAAATGCTCACAGAATTCATTTCCTGTGTTTGTATTTTTCCTTTTGAAAGACGCATGTATTAATCTAATTTATTTGACACGTGCAATGTACCACATGAAGTGGACTAGGTTTATTTTCAATGTGATTTTCTGCACCATATTCCGTATAGAAATCACTAGAGTTTATATATGGAAAGACCCCAATGAAATCCAAACCAGAGTCACTGTCATTATTTCCTGTGTATTTTTTTTTTCTGTTGTGGTTTAAAATGACAAGCTTTCATACAGACAAGCGAAACTAAGGCCTGCCTTACGCCTAGAAGCCAGACAGTTTACGTCACGGTGGTTCAAACCACTGGCCGCTAGGAAAGCAGGTAGGCGTTGTATTGTGTAGAGGTCAACGATCCTCCTCGGAATAGAATCGAGAATAATTTTTAGAACGCCGAGAATAAAGAATATAAATAATAAAATGTTGTAACTTGAATGTCACATTCAGGTGTGACTGTGGGTTTCGCGGGAAAAGCGGTCAATCTCAATGTGGGCATTGGACTGACCCAGTCCCGGGGAGAGGGGAGGGGGAACTTGGGGTACCTTTAGGGGAAACATTTTACACAATAGAATTGGGCTTTCGTCGACTCTTTGAATAGGGGACTGCAATGTGAACAGATTTCAATTTGTGGAAGGCACAACTTGAATAATGCAAAGGCTTGGTCCATTGAAATTCTGAGGGGGTGAGGGATGGGGGAGGAGCATAAGAGTGCACAGATGGGGGGGAGGTGCTACCCCATTCCATACTAAGATAATTTATTCCATCGGGGTGCGACTTAATACCCACTACTGTACTGAGAACAAATGATTTGTGTGATTTCCTTAATCCATACTTGGCAGAAGTGGAATATCTCCCCCCCCCGCAAAAGGTTTGCAAACCGCTCCCCACTAACAGGATTGTTTGCCTGTGGCAAACTTTTTAGAACAACTTTCTTCCTGCTTAGATTCAAGAAGATTCAATTTGGCTGACACTGGTACATCAGTGGTCAATTTGAGAGTACGGTACTTCTGTAATACAATATGCAGCGCTTTTATCACCTGTTTTCATCATCCTGGTTGGATACGTGATTTCACATTTACATGTACATGTATAATCCATTTGTTACATGCACACACAACATTTTTGCCGATACAGTCTCCAACCCGTTGCATTCTGACACTCGGCCGCCCTACTGCCTACCAATCAAAAGTCGCTTTGTCATTCTGTGGTGTATTCTTCACTCGGATGAAATGATCAAAATTTCCCCTCTAGTTTCTGAATAGTTACTATAACGTATGTATTTTGAATTGTCGAAAGTGTGAACAGGCTCGGCCATGCAATCATGACAAATAGGTTTTTTTTTTTCAATGTCACTTGCAACTTTATTGGTCACACAGCTTAAGAGAAGTCAAACTGCAAACATCTCAGTCACCTTATCCAAACAAAATAAAACCCTTAGAATTTAATTTGAGATTTTTCAAATTCTTAAAATTATACGAAAATATTGTCTTTCACAATTTTCCTCAACTGGTTTAAGTTGTATTTCCTCTTTGTCGTCAACAATCACATTCTTATCTGATAAACTAACTTCATATTATGTAACAGGGAAACAACTTGTACCAAAAAAACCCAATGATGTTTGCAGTGCATTCTGGGTAGAGATTGTTTACCTCACACATCGTGTCAATGTTTATAGCCGTAGTGTGTTCACCACACACAACGTACATGTACGTACAGCACCCAGCATAATAATATACAAAGTTTATACAAGCTTGTCTTTGAAATTATGTCCATACAATAGTATACATTTATTTGTACAAAGGAATATGTGCAACCCCCACAGAGGTACTTACATGTAGATATTTGTCGTTTGCTCATACAAAAATATAATAAAGTGACACAAAGCATCATATTATGTTACAATCAACAAACTGGGAAGACATTTGTTGAAGTATTGAAGGAGTTCAAAAATCACTCCTATTGGATTGGAATGCAGGATAAAGGGCAGAACTTTAGGCAGAACTGAACATTGTTAAAAAAACACACAGCCTTTCCTTGGCGTGCTAAAGTGTGAAAAAATTTTGCAAAGCTAAACTTGAAGTCGCGGGTCAAAATATAGATTTGGACTGGGGCTCAGATTTTTGCTTAGCGCAAACAAATTTACTCCCTAGTTTCTTGCCAGTGGGGTAACCATAGGGAGGGCAGGGAGGGTGGTGGGGGGGGAGAAGTTGTCCCCCGAGACAATTTTTTCTTTTGTTTTGAGAATTGACAGCACCAACATTTTAACATGGTACTACAGAGCAATTTTCTGGAGGAAAAAACTCCATTCTCCCCCCCCTTCCATCCCAAGACCTGTATACTCCCGTTCTGTGCTTCTTGTATACAAATAGGTACATGAAAGAAGTTCAATTAATGGAAGGGTATTCACTACGGTTCCTTCAACCTCTGCTGAAAGAGACAAGCAGTTACAACCCTGTCAGGGCCATGAATCTATCCTTGCTTGAAAAAAATACCTTGATGAGTAGGAAAGAGTGATTTTAAGTTACAAAAATATGCTTCAGAGTATCTTTTGCTGAAGATCCTAAGTTAGGGAAAAAGGGTTGAGGCACAATGCAAAGACCACAATATTGCGCAGTGCACTCTGTATCTTATGCAAGTCCAACATACATTTGCATGATCGGGTACTTTTTATATTTGGTACAACGGGAAATTCCAATGAGTGAAGGCCAAATGGTACAGCATGTACGTACATGTACTGTACATATATGTGAAATGTTATACTGTTATACATGTACATGAACGTGTATTTCCTGGTCAAAGTACACATACCATACTGTCCTTATGTCCATTTATGAAGCTTAATGAAAAATACAAGCTAGATGTACCGGTACTTTCTACATGTGCAGTACATATACCTTCTGCACCATCAGGTGCAACCCAACCATCGTCCCATCCCCCTCGAAGCAGAATACATTGTACATGTAGCACCACGATTTGGACTGGTGACGGCAATATTCACTGGAGTTTGAAATGAGCTTTCTTGGACTTCAGGGCAACCGAAACGTGCGCCCTACAGTGTCAAATCCACAAATTAACCCAGACTAGGGTGCTGATGAATGTCGAAAGACTTGTCTTGCAGCCTGTAGAGGCTGTACGATCAGGGTCTGCCCTCGTTTTAGTCAGCTGATGCCAAATACACTTCCACTACTCCCTACAAGCCCGTGAGGCATCCTGTCCGAACTCCAAGAGGGAAATCCCCATTAGAAAATCCTGCCGACCCCCAAACTCCCTGATGTCATATTCTAAACCTTTTTTGAGTCCCCGAGTGTGTCTGCGCAACCAACAATGACCAGTTCCACACTCCATTTTTCCCTGTTTAAGTCTCTCTTTCAACTGACATGGGCTGACACTGCAGAGTCAGCGTGAATGGGCAATTGTGAACATATTTGTACATGTACAAATTACAATGTACATCCAAGTGCATGTGTACATCTGTTCTTATTTCCTCCCTCCCCCTTTAGGAATTTCGGAATTTAGGAATTTAGGAATTTATGAGCTGTATCTCTCTTCTCTTGTGGAATGTGACTAAATTTTGACAAAGGGGAAACGGGAAAAGACGGGCGAGATGCTGTGAATGAGTTTTGCAGACTGTGTTTACAGTAGAAATTCACAAAAGGACAAACGGGCTGAAAATAAAAACTGGTTTGTACACAAAAGTGAGGGTTACCACTTGTCAGTAATTCTAAAGGAAGTGGAGGCAGAGAGATTCATCCCGTCGTCGCTTGTTCATTTTGCACCTGTTTTTCTCTGTTACCAGGGTTCAAAAATACTTGTGAATTGAGGCCGGTGATATCACACGTGTACATGTATGTATATGTACATGTACCTTACGGCACAAATACCAGTAAGTCGGGCAAAATTACAAATTTTTTCGCAACATACATGTACATGTACATGAACATGTAGTTATCAGGCATGTAACTTGGACTTGGACAAAAAAAAACAAGGAAATTCCAATCTTTACAAGACTTTGTCCAGTGTTTTGCAGTTTTGAATGACATGAGTGTGAAGTGAGAAATGAGGAAATCAGCTGATCCGAGGCAAAGTTGCATGCCTGAGTTATCAATGAACTATTCCCAAATTTCGGTGAAAAAACTGGAGTTAAATCTAGGGTTAAAGTTCAGGTCCATTTTGTACAAGTGGGTACATGTACATATGCATTTCACATCTTTTTCAAGAGAACAGTGCAAGTTTACATGTATTTCTACACTGTACTGTGCATGTGTATCCGCACAACAAAGTACATGTACATATAGGTCTCGTACTGGCGGTCTGGGTTTGTTTCCTCCAAGAAATTACAGTCCTGCTTATTAGACACAGGAAAACGTCGATTAGGTTATCCTAACATCCATAAAATTTAAAACATCTCTTTCTTCCCACTCCCTCGAAAAGAAATAACAACATGCCGATGGCCAACATCAGCAAATTTCAACCATCATAAATCCAATTTCTATGACAGGGCTACAATACTTATGTGGACAGCTGAGAAGTGAAACCAGTATTCACATTGGCTTTGGGCCACATCCAAATGTCACATGCAGATCGCTGTGCTTTGGACTTCCCAGCCGCAGAATTATTATGAAGGAAAGTGCCGAACCTTTCCGGTGAAGTCTTGTGAAAGTCCGGAGCACTGATCAGCCCTTCCCTGAGAGCACTCTGGAGTTTCAACGCCAAATCTCACTCACACTGACATCACAAGACCCATGGATGTCAGTCATTTTTTAGGGGAGGGGGGGATCAAGGTTTCCCCGATGATCACATGAAGACCTATGTCAGTTATTTTTTTAGGGGGAGAGGGGATTAAGGTTTCCCCGATGATCAAGAAGTTCTTCAGGTCTACCCTTGATCTCAGAATTGTTTGGTAAGGTCCTTGAGTAAGGTAACTCATCTTATTCCGTAAGTAAGAAGATAAACAAGAAACGAAACAAAATCTAGTCCAAATACCAATGTTTACAATGTTTAAAATTGATTTGGAGTTGTTAGTTAAATAATACAATATGTGATCACCAATATTCAAGAACATGTACATTTTACATGGAATGAACATGTACATGTATACCGGTACAGTACACACAAGTCCCATTAATAAGTACAATTATACAAGTTATTGTATGCAAATATACATTTCATATATTTTTACACAAGATTACAGCCCATGACAAAACAATTTCTGCTGGTATTGCATTGTGAATGGCTTGTTAAGGAACTTCTCAATCGTTGAACTTTCTCTCAGCAACACGTGCAGGCCTTATAGCCTGGACAATTCATGGGAATTCTCACAGACAGGGTTTAATATTTTGTTTCCGGCCAATGAAAAAAAGTGTGCATCCACAGTTCAAATGTCGCCGTGAGTTAACAATTGCACGGTTTGCGGCATGAGCGTATGTGTACTCCCTTGAAGTTTTGCCAAAACCCCAGGTACACGTCTTTTCCAATTATACCGGTGACCTCTGAATGCCCCCAACAAGAGCCACTCAAATGTTAGCCACGGGTGTCTTTTGAGCGCCTCTGATAAGATAAGAGTGTTTTGAATTCCTTTTGCTGGCTATGTGAAACATTATCCCCCAAAACCTTACGGGTATTTTCCTCTCCAGTGCCAAACATGATCATTACACATGCTTCCTTTTTGGCTAATCCTTGATTTCCACACAAATACGTGATTCGCCTCTTCAAGAATAGGAAAACGATCAGTGTGTATGTACTTTCATAAACTGCAGAAAATGAGGAGTAAATCAGGAGCAAACCCTCTTGGTTACGTGTACGATGTACGTGCAAGGCCAAAATGTGCTTTTTTGTCTGTTACATGTAGTTTAACTGCTTGGTTGAGCGTAAATTAAAGTACGCACATCCAAGCAATAGCCATTTTTTTTTTTAAATTTGTGTCTCAATTCACTCCGTTTAATTTTCATGCTGCCAGTTTAGAGGGCACTCGATACCTTCTGGGGTTTTATGCTGAAGCAAATTTACAACTCGCGAGTATTTGAAAGTGTGAAGAAGAGTCAGTGTTAGTTCTACACCCAAATTTACCAGAATGCTGGTCCAAATGTCTCTTCTTGGTGATCTGTTGAAGGGGTATTATTCATTACACATGCAGGTGGTGAACTAGAACCCAACAAGAAAAAAAAATGTGCCTTACACGTGCCCCTTAAAGGTACATGTACAGTCCATCCTTTTGTCAGTTGTGCTTAACCCTAACCCCCTAGGCTCCTGCACTAGAAAGCATACTGAA